TAAATAAAATCTTTAAAAAAATAAATAAATAAAATAAAATAAAAATAAAATAATAGTATATTTTCAAATAGGATAAGCAAGTTAGAGGTGACTTTTTCTGAGCCCTGTGAAGTTAGCCAACATATCTAGAAAGTTGAAATTTTCTTATGTGCTTTCTAGGAATAAAAACCCATTAAATATAAAGAAATGCCAAGTGCTTATATTTTCATCACTTACCTAAGATTTAGTATTTCTGTTGTCACACCTTTTGGGTGGGTTTGAAATTTGCCTTTCGTATGATGACACCTGTTTTCTTGTGTAGGTGTTATTAAAACCAATGCCACTGCAGAGAAAACAGAAGAAGAAGAGAAAGGTAATTACTTTTTAAAACTCTGTAGCAAGAAACAGCGTATGACCCAGGATTTGCCTTTCTGGAGCCCGAGGCACTAGATCGAAGAGATGAGGAGGAATCACAAAGGAGATTGAGAAATAGAAAGAGAACTAAAGGAGAGGGGTATCCAGAAACCAGAAGAAGGAAGTGTTTCAAAAGTAGGTAGTCAAATATAGGTAATAAATTGATTAAGAAGATATAAAAATGGACTGTTCACTTGATTTAGCAGTGTAGAAGCCATTGGTGTGCTCAACAAGGGCCTTTGAGGTCAAGTGCAGAGGCTAAATACAAGAACCTATTCAGTGTATATTCAGCAGAAGGGGAGGACAGGAAGTGGGGACAATGAGTGTAGACAGCCTTTTCAGGGACTGTCCTATAAAGGGGAATAGAGAAATGGGGCAGCAACTGGATGGGGGATAAAGGAGGAAGCGGGTTTATAACGAGATGTTAAAATGTGTGCACATGCGACGGGGGAGTGTTCCAGTGTAGGGGGAAACTGATAATGCAAGGAGTTAGTGTGGGGAGAAATATCCTTATAGGCAAGAGGGGCGGGGACCTGTTGTACCAATGCAGGGATTAGCCTTGAGCACAGGCTGTTCATCCCAGGTTACCGGAGGGAACGTAGAGAGTCTGCGCACAAATGCAGGTGGGTGTGTAGGTGTGTCACCGCAGTGTGTGGAGGTGCCTCTGATCACTTGTACTTCTCTGTGAAGGAAGATGCAGGTTCATCAGATCAGTGAGAATGTGGAGGGCTGAGAAGAGAGGTGGAGGTGGAGATCTGAGAAGAGTGAATGAGTGGAGAATAGAAACATGAAGACTTACAGGGCAGGGCAGCCCATTTGAGTCTAGTGGTCAAGAATCTGAAGTGAGACCTGTTGGTGTGATTGTTTTTCTCCAGCCATGCTCGGCTGCCCTGGTGCTGGTACAGAGCCAGGGAGAAAGAGATTTCACGAGGGTGGGTTTGCCAAATGAGTATGAAGACAACCTGCTGGTTTCTTCCTGACAGAGGACAGAGCTGCCCAGTCCTTACTCAACAAGCTGATCAGAAGCAACCTTGTGGATAACACAAACCAGGTGGAAGTCCTGCAGCGGGACCCAAACTCCCCGCTCTACTCAGTGAAGTCCTTTGAGGAGCTTCGGCTGTGAGTGTCTGTTCCCTGAACAGCTGTTCCTTGTTGGTCCCGCCTTTCTAAAACTTAGCATCTCAGAGCTCTTTTGGGAGTTTTACTTTCTGTATTTTTAAGAATTTTAATGTATTTGCTTCTTTGACTAGTTAATAATTCACATGATTCGAAAGTGAGAAAGTATGGAAAAGTTTACGGTGATGGTTTCCCTCCCACCCTTGTCTTTTGGCTACCCAGTTCTCCTCCTCTTGGGAGGGATTTTTAAATGCCACAGATTTATTCATCATAGCTGAAAGTCTTTTTTCTTTTATGCTCTTAGAACTTTCAATAAAATATTGGCTGACAGGTGATTTCTGGATGTCAGGAACATTTCTTATTAGGTAAGCCCTTTTGTTAGACTACAGGGTTTACGGTCTTGAGAACACTTTATCTGCTTTTACATAATCGATCAAAAGAGTCTGTGCAGGAGTCCCAGTACCTACAGCGGAAAGCAACCTTCAATATTCTGGAATTAAAAAAAAAAAAAAATTCAGAACCTGGAATTAAGCCACAAGGGAGCACATTTACGGCACTGTGCTAAGAATGACTTCTAACATCTCTTTATTTTAAAGGCAGAATTACGGAAGGTCATACCAAGTTTTTTGTTTCCCTCAGCATATTTAGTAAAGAAGTGTTTATGAATCCCTGGTTTATGTAAATGCTACTGTGCTGGGTGTCATGAGTAACATAAGACATAACTACTGTTCTTGCTGCCTGCCAGGACCGGAATCATAGAAAATAGCTGGTGAATAAGAAAGTGGTGGAATTAATAGATTCTTTGCCTTATCAGTAAAATCTTTAGTATGCTCACTGTGGGCAAATAGGCGCTACATTCTTGCTAACTTATTACCACTGCTTTAGAGTAAGAGACATTTAAAATATGAGAGCTAACTAAAACCAAATCAAGTCATTAATGAAGTGATAGCTAAGAACAAGTTTTTTAAAGCACGGCTTTTTTTTTTAATGTTCTCAGGAAATTATATTTTTCTATGTGTATTTCCTCTATCAGGGGCTTCATTCAGTGAATCTGTCATCTCTGCTTCTGTTTATAAACTATATCAGGACAGTGAGATGTGCTCTTTTGTTTCCTGAAGTGACAGTTTGCTTTTCCAAGTATTGATGGTTTTTAAACCCCTTTTCATTTAAAGGCCTTGAGCTCTCAGTCCAACCAGTGAGGAACTGTCCTCTCTGAAAAGTCAAGTTCTCTCTGATATAGTAGTCGTTGGCTAGAGGAAACAAAGAATGAAATCTAAGTTGCCTTGGTTTGTTTTGTACTTAAAATTTTTGAGTTAATCTGCAAAATAAGAGAAAAATAATGAACCACTGGAAGCTCTTGGATCATTTGGATCTTCATTCAGTTGTGACTTTGTTTCCTTAGCAATCAAATCAAAATCTGCTGAGCTTCATAGCCTTTTCTTCCAAACAGAAGACACCAAAGGTTATGCTTTCAGAGATCTTTGTATCTGAGAACCAACATATGCCAGAAGAATTTGCCACTTAGAGAGCCTGTTTACTCCAAGGAAGGTTCAGAGAACAGAAGTCTTGACTTGGTTTGACTCTTCTTTACAATCTGGTGGGATTTTTGTTGAACACCCTGTCAATGTGGAGGTAGCAGGGAGCTTATTGTAAATGCGATGGAAGAACAACTTTAGTTGATATTTGTTGTGCAGCTACTTACATAAGCTGGTGCTTTCCTGTTCTTGATTTTTGACTAGACATAATAAATAATATGAGCATTTGGAAAGTTCAGTATGGTATTTGAACACTCCTACCTATTTACTGTAAATCAGGTACTAGAAACTGGTTGAATCAATTTTCTTATTTCTTGATTGTCCTGAGTATTTGCACAGCTGGCTTTGGAAGGACCATGGAATACAAAATGACTGTGGTTCAATTTAACATCTACCCCAAGAAATTAAAACTGAATCTCGTTCCTTAAAGGGACTTCTATATCTCAGTGGTATAGTAAGCAGTATATTTTTAGATATGCCTTTTATAATTCATTTTATGCAAATTATAAAATTTATATGAATTAATACCATTCTTGCGATATCCAGGGAACATTTGTCCTTCAAGGCCAGTCATATTTGTGGGTCTGCTGAAAGCATGAATTTTTCCAGGAATGGAAACTAGTCTGTATTTTCGGAATTGCACAATAGTTGCAGATTAAGGGGCACCTGGGTGGCTCAGTCAGTTAAGCGTCTGCCATCGGCTCAGGTCATGATACCAGGGTTCTGGGATCGAGCCCCGCATCAGGCTCTCTGCTCAGTGGGGAGTCTGCTTCTCCCTCTCCTTCTGCTGCTCCCCCTGTTTATGCTGTCAAATATTAAATAAAATCTTTAAAAAAAAAAAGTTGCAGATTAAGATTTAGTAGGGAAAGATGGTGGCTTGGTTTCATTTTAGATATTTTTTAAGGCATTAGAAAAATATGTCTGACAAAGATAGGAAGCTTTATACTGTGCTAGATTTAGGGAAAGATAAAATTCTAGGCTTTTAAAACAACTTGAACAACTAGGAATCCATCCTCTCTCTCCCTGGACTTCTAGGAAACCACAGCTTCTCCAGGGAGTCTATGCCATGGGCTTCAATCGACCATCCAAGATACAAGAGAACGCATTACCCATGATGCTTGCTGAGCCGTGAGTATGCAGACCTCAAGTGTAGTTCTTCAGGATTTGGTTTAATGTTTTACACCAATAACTGTTACTGTTCTTGAGAACAAGATGGGATGTTTGGGACAGCATGTTTCTTCAGGGAAACCACTTGAGCAAGTGCAGAGAGAGTCAGTTGGAATTTGGTACAGCATCTCCCTTTCCCACTTAACCATAAAAACTGATGGGGCACCTGGGTGGCTCAGTCAGTTGAGCGTCCAACTCTTGGTTTCAGCTCAGATTATGATCTCAGGTCATGATCTCAGGGTTGTGAGATCGAGCTCCACATAGGGCTCCACACTTAGCACGGAGTCTGCTTGAGATTCTCTCCCTTTTTTTTTTTTTTTTTGAGATTCTCTCCCTTTCCCTCTCCTTCCCCCTCTGCTCCACTCCCCACTCACACGCCCACTTGCATGCACATGCTCTCTTTCTCTCTCTCTCAAATAAATAAAATCTTTTTAAAAATTAAAAAAAAAATTTAGAAACCTGATAGAGAAGAGGGCACCTGGCTAGCTCAGTTGGTAGAGCATGTGACTGTTGATGCTGGGGTTGTGGGTTCAAGCTCCATATTGGGTGTAGAAATTGCTTTAAAAAATAAATAAAAATCTTTAAAACAGGGTTCATTTCTATTCTTCCTTGATCTAGCCCACAGAACCTGATTGCCCAGTCTCAGTCAG